ATCCATCCATCCATCCATCCATCCATTCATTCATTCATTCATTCATTCATTCATTCATTCATTCATCCATAGTTAATTCATCCATCCATCCATTCATTCATTCATTCATTCATTCATTCATTCATTCATTCATTCATCCATCCATCCATAGTTAATCCATCCATCCATCCACCCATCCATCCATCCATCCATCCATCCATCCATCCATCCACCCATCCATCCATCCATCCATCCATCCATTCATTCATTCATTCATTCATCCATCCATCCATTCTTTCATTCATTCATTCATTCATTCATTCATTCATCCATCCATCCATCCATAGTTAATCCATCCATCCATCCATCCATCCATCCATCCATTCAGCCATAGTTAATTCATCCATCCATCCATCATCCATTCATTCATTCATTCATTCATTCATTCATTCATTCATTCATCCATCCATCCATCCATCCATCGTTAATTCATCCATACATCCATCCACCCATCCATAGTTAATTAATTCATCTATCCATTCATTCATTCATTCATTCATTCATTCATTCATCCATCCATCCATCCATAGTTAATTCATCCATTCATCCATCCATCCATCCATAGTTAATTCATCCATCCATCCATTCATTCATTCATTCATCCATCCATCCATCCATAGTTAATTCATCCATCCATCTATCCATCCATTCATTTATTCATTCATTCATCCATCCATCCATCCATAGTTAATTCATCCATCCATCCATCCATTCATTCATCCATAGTTAATTCATCCATCCATCATCCATCATTCATTCATTCATTCATTCATCCATCCATCCATCGTTAATTCATCCATCCATCCATCCATCCATCCATAGTTAATTCATCCATTCATTCATTCATTCATTCATTCATTCATTCATTCATTCATCCATCCATAGTTAATTCATCCATTCATTCATTCATTCATTCATCCATCCATCCATCCATCCATCCATCCATCCATCCATCCATCCATTCATTCATTCATTCATTCATCCATCCATCCATAGTTAATCCATTCATTCATTCATTCATTCATTCATTCATTCATTCATCCATCCATCCATCCATCCATAGTTAATTCATACATCCATCCATCTATTCATTCATTCATTCATTCATTCATTCATCCATCCATCCATTCATTCATTCATCCATCCATCCATCCATAGTTAATCCATCCATCCATCCATCCATCCATCCATCCATTCATTCATTCATTCATTCATTCGTTCATCCATCCATCCATCCATCCATCCATCCATCCATTCATTCATTCATTCATTCATCCATCCATCCATCCATAGTTAATTCATCCATCCATCCATTCATTCATTCATTCATCCATCCATAGTTAATCCATCCATCCATCCTCCATTCATCCATCCATCCATCCATCCATGCTCCATCCATCCATCCATCATCCATCCATCATCCATTCATTCATTCATTCATTCATCCATCGTTAATTCATCCATCCATCCATCCATCCATCCATTCATTCATTCATTCATCCATCCATAGATAGTTAATTCATCCATCCATCCATCCATCCATCCATCCATCTATCCATTCATTCATTCATTCATTCATTCATTCATTCATCCATCCATCCATAGTTAATTCATCCATCCATCCATCCATTCATTCATTCATTCATTCATTCATTCATTCATTCATTCATTCATCCATCCATCCATCCATCCATAGTTAATCCATCCATCCATCCATCCATTCATTCATTCATTCATTCATCCATCCATCCATCCATAGTTAATTCATTCATTCATTCATTCATTCATTCATTCATTCATTCATCCATCCATAGTTAATTCATCCATCCATCCATCCATCCATCCATCCATAGTTAATTCATCCATCCATCCATCCATCCATCCATCCATTCAGTCATTCATTCAGTCATTCATCCATCCATCCATAGTTAATTCATCCATTCATTCATTCATTCATCCATCCATCCATCCATCCATCCATCCATAGTTAATTCATCCATCCATCCATCCATCCATCCATCCATCCATCCATCCATTCATTCATTCATTCATTCATTCATTCATTCATTCATTCATTCATTCATTCATTCATCCATCCATCCATCCATCCATCCATCCATCCATCCATAGTTAATTCATCCATCCATCCATCCATCCATCCATCCATCCATCCATTCATTCATTCATTCATTCATTCATTCATTCATTCATTCATTCATTCATTCATCCATCCATCCATAGTTAATTCATCCATTCATTCATTCATTCATTCATTCATTCATTCATTCATCCATCCATCCATCCATAGTTAATTCATCCATCCATCCATAATGAATTAATCCATCCATCCATCCATCCATCCAACCATCCATAATGAATTAATCCATCCATCCATCCATCCATCCAACCATCCATAATGAATTAATCCATCCATCCATCCATCCATCCATCCATCCATCCATCCATCCATCCATCCATCCATCCATAGTTAATTCATCCATCCATCCATAATGAATTAATCCATCCATCCATCCATCCATCCATCCATCCATCCATCCATCCATCCATCCATCCATCCATAGTTAATTCATCCAACCATCCATAATGAATTAATCCATCCATCCATCCATCCATCCATCCATCCATCCATCCATCCATCCATAGTTAATTCATCCATCCATCCATAATGAATTAATCCATCCATCCATCCATCCATCTATAAAATCTTTGAGAAACAGAATATATAAAAACTCCAACAGTAGAAACAGACAGAGCACCACCTTTAAATGTCAGTGTAGGATCTGTTGCATGTTTTTTTGCATCTGTGTGTCGGAGTATGATCATTTTCATGTATAAAACTTTAGAAGTTCAGAGGCAGAAGTTTGTTCTTCTCTGGATGCTCACAGACAGAGGTTGTGATGAGGCATTAAGTTAAAAAAGCTTATTACAGTTTTTCTTAGTCGCTCTGGTAAATATCTCACAACACCATCATAATTTTCACAACAGTTAAACAGCTTTCTGAAAAATGAATTCAAAACCAGGCTGATACCAGTGAAAGGGTGTCACTTGATCCAAATGGATGGCTCCTTCCTCAGAAACGAGTCTATGTGTCATCAGGATAGAAGATTGTTTATGAACAATACAGTCAAACATCTTTTTCATGTTTTTTGGTATTCAAAGTTCCTCTGTAAATGTTTTCCAATGCAAAAAAGTCAGATCGTGGTGCAACACCTGGAAGGCAGCATCACAAACTATTCCCAGATTCATGAAAACTACAGTAAAGTTACACATTATTTAGTGCAACTGAGACAGGACACTAAATATTTAAGTTCTAGTGCATCTGCTCCTTGCATTTTTGTTTTTGTCACAGCATTGACCAAAATACAACCTTATTTACAACAACACAAACCTCCTCTGGATAGAGACAACTGTAAACAACATCACAGAACGTATTAGAAATGAACCCACAACATACAGTATGTGTTCTGTAAACCATTCATGCTCATCCAGATGTTCCTCTTTGTCAGGTCTCAGTTAATTTCATCTTCATCACAACCAATATCCTGAAAGCTTCTCCTTAAAAATCAGGAAGCTGTTGTGATGTCATCACAATACCTTTTAGGTATTTGGATGCAGGTCAAATGCCTTCCACCTCCAGAGGCGAACTCCTCTACTGGATCCAGGAATGATGAGCAGGAAGGAGATGTTCCACCAGCATCTGATCCCCAAACCTCATCAGAGGCCAGAACTTACATTATCGCAAACAACAATGTGCAGCGCTGTTAATTCAATTCAATTCAGTTTATTTATATAGCTCCAATTCACAACACCTCATCTCAATACAATTTAACCAGATCATACAGTCAAATTGATTCAAAGTTTTCTATCTAAGGAAAACCAGTTGATTGCATCGACTCGTTGACTCGAAAGCAATCCCTCACACTAAGCATGCTTGCAGCGACAGTGGAGAGGAAAAACTCCAGTTTCCCCTTGTTAATCTTCTACATTCCTCTAGGTAGTGACTCGAGCAATAAAATGAGGAAGATAGAATAAAAATTCAGCATAGAGAATTATTGTAAACTCTGCTAAAGTAAACTCTGATAAGACAAAGCTAATGATAATGGAACTAATGCAACTGAAAGCATTTTTATTTCATTGGAAGGTCTGAAGAAACTATGAAGTCCACAGAAGAGTAATTGTTGTAAAGATGAACCAACTGCTGTGAAAATTTTCATATTAATGTGAGAAATCAACCAAAGTCCTTGAGGAAAACTGCAAAGCACATTTTAATTCAGGAGCAGAGAAATTGAGGACTTTCTGAATATATAAAAAGAATAGCTGAAAAAAAACAGGCCTTACTTCTGGAGCTACAAAGAACTACCAGAACCTAAACGGACCTTCAGCTAAACCCTCCAAGGAGTTCTGGAACAAATAAACTATTCACCTCTTGGAGTAATATCACATTTTTTCCATTAGAATCTAAATTAGGGAACATATGTTCTGCACAAGCCATCCGACAAAAGGCAGAACATTTGGTGTACTGGGTCATCACCAGGAAACCCAAACAGGCGGGTGTTTTTTCTCTGGAACATTTCAACGATTAATACCAGTCGATGTTGGAGGACAGCAGCTCAGACAGAGTGGAGGTGATACTGACACCTGGGCTCGGTAGGATTGTATACCAGGATATTTGGACCACAGAACCAAACAGAACAAAATCTCCTTTCTGCATCCCTCTGTAGACACGAGCCTCCCAGACTTGAACAGGGTCCTGCACTGTGGCTGAGCTACTTATCCTCCAACTTTCCACCCGGTTTATATCTCTGAATATGTCCATTCATTCAGCCTCAGCATCGACCCAGCAGACATCAACCCTCCTCTGTTTTCATCCTGGTTTTCTAATCTCATTTTTATTCCTTTTAATTAAGCTCACCTCTCTGTCTCATTAAAGACACACTTACCTTCCTGATCCAGTGAACCCTCTGTATTTGTCTCCCCCCCAGATCTCCGTCCTTCCAGCCGGGACGTCCAGCCTTCTCCTCTCCTCAGCACAGTGCTCTCCTTGTTCTGCCTCCTCCCTCCTTCAGCTCACACTAAATCCTTATTCCAGCTTGCTCACTTAATTCAGGAGATCCCACATCCAAAAATACAGCTGGCAGCTCACACCACCACCCTCCTCCCTGCCTGGGGAGCCAGCCTCCTCCTCCCCCTCTATCTCTCAGGACGGGTCTCGTCATGGGGCATGAAGCCCCTCCACCCCCCGAGCTGGGATTGATCGAGCTGTTCAGCCGCTGCAGTCCTTCTCTCTGCAGTTTTTGGGCTGCAGTTAGTCCAGACTCTGTTCCTGTCCATCCTGGCTCCTGATCCCGGCCATTAGCCCTGAAGGTGAGGTCTGAGGGTAAAAGCGGTGGACACAGTCCTGCAGCCGTCCTTCAGATCTTCTGCTTTGCTGCAGAACCTGCTTCTTACTGCATCCCCGGTTCGGAACCTAAATCCTTGTCCTCCTCTCTCCTCCTCTGACGCTCCATCTCCTCTGGCCCACTGCTGCTGACACACCCCCTCCTTTTCAAAGGACACCCCAACCTGCTTACTCTCTCTCTGCAATGCAGCCAGGGTCCTGAAGCAACTCTGGGCCCCTCTCCTTTCCACCTTTCTGGCTGACTCAAAGCATCCTTTATGGCTTTATTTATCTTCCCCCTCCCTCTCCTCCTCTCAGGCCGAGCTGCTGACGTCCTGCAGGTTGGAGAGTCTGCAGCGACTCTGAGAATCGATGCCGTGCTAACTACTCAATTACATTTCATTCATGTCCAAAAACAGACTGCAGTGAAACACATAGGTTGATCTCAGTAATGAGGCTCTTCTCTGTCTTTCCCATGAAAAACCATTTAACCACATCAGTGGATCAGTTCAGCAGTTTGGTTGTAAGACAGCTTTCCTATAAAATTACTATTCTTAGTGTTTAAAAAAATGGTTGCTGTCAACATAAAAGGCAAACAGAGACTGGTTTATTTATAAGTCACATTTCAGTAAGAAGACGGTGTGTTGTGCATGAACCAAACATACAATACAGAGAAAAATACTTTGCAGTGGCTTGAAACAGGCAGGGAAGGAAAAGGTGGAAGACGTACACTATATTGCCAAAAGTATTTGCTCACCTGCCTTGACTCACATATGAGCTTAAGTGACATCCCGTTCCTAATCCATAGGGTTCAATATGACGTCGGTCCACCCTTTGCAGCTAGAACAGCTTCAACTCTTCTGGGAAGGCTGTCCACAAGGTTTAGGAGTGTGTTTATGGGAATTTTTGACCATTCTTCCAGAAGCGCATTTGTGAGGTCGCACACTGATGTTGGACGAGAAGGCCTGGCTCTCAGTCTCCGCTCTAATTCATCCCAAAGGTGTTCTATCGGGTTGAGGTCAGGACTCTGTGCAGGCCAGTCAAGTTCATCCACACCAGACTCTGTCATCCATGTCTTTATGGACCTTGCTTTGTGCACTGGTGCACAGTCATGTTGGAAGAGGAAGGGGCCAGCTCCAAACTGTTCCCACAAAGTTGGGAGCATGGAATTGTCCAAAATGTCTTGGTATGCTGAAGCATTCAGAGTTCCTTTCACTGGAACTAAGGGGCCAAGCCCAGCTCCTGAAAAACAACCCCACACCATAATCCCCCCTCCACCAAACTTTACACTTGGCACAATGCAGTCAGACAAGTACCGTTCTCCTGGCAACCGCCAAACCCAGACCCGTCCATCAGATTGCCAGATGGAGAAGCGCGATTCGTCACTCCAGAGAACGCGTCTCCACTGCTCTAGAGTCCAGTGGCGGCGTGCTTTACACCACCGCATCCGACGCTTTGCATTGCACTTGGTGATGTATGGCTTGGATGCAGCTGCTCGACCATGGAAACCCATTCCATGAAGCTCTCTGCGCACTGTTCTTGAGCTAATCTGAAGGCCACATGAAGTTTGGAGGTCTGTAGTGATTGACTCTGCAGAAAGTTGGCGACCTCTTCGCACTATGCGCGTCAGCATCCGCTGACCCCGCTCCGTCAGTTTACGTGGCCTACCACTTCGTGGCTGAGTTGCTGTCGTTCCCAAACACTTCCATTTTCTTATAATACAGCTGACAGTTGACTGTGGAATATTTAGGAGCGAGGAAATTTCACGACTGGATTTGTTGCACAGGTGGCATCCTATCACAGTTCCACGCTGGAATTCACTGAGCTCCTGAGAGCGACCCATTCTTTCACAAATGTTTGTAAAAACAGTCTGCATGCCTAGGTGCTTGAATTTATACACCTGTGGCCATGGAGGTGATTGGAACACCTGATTCCAATAATTTGGATGGGTGAGCAAATACTTTTGGCAATATAGTGTATTAACCACTGATGTTTCATTCAACAGTTTAAACAGAACAGTCAAAAGTATTTAGTGGAGCAGAAGAACTAAACGCTGCTTCTCTGTGTTTGGTTCTGGATCTGATCCAGTAGATTTTTTAATTAATGAAGATTTGATATAGGTCTATAATTGACAGAGTCATCTGGGTCAAGAGTTTCTTAACTAAAGTTTAAACCTTAAAAGCCTGATGTATATATCCCTGTAACAGGGAGAGATTAACCTATATTAAGGTTTAATATAGGTTACTTTGAGTGAACAACTTTGACAGGAAGAAATTAATTACATTCAAACTTGAGGAGGAAATCTGAGGTAACACTTCCTTAAATAACCAGGTCAGAACTGGATAACATACTAACATCTAACAAAAAAGTTTTAGGCTTAGATGAAGCTAAGTCAGATAGGAACTCTGAAAAATCATCTGAGTAAGGACCTGGTGGACGATACAAAGTAACAAAACAAGAGGTTTTTCTGCTTTGTAGTTTGGATGAGGCAATCTGAGGGTTAAATGTTCAAAAGAGTTGTAATTATTGACTAACTTTGGAGTAATCAATAAGTCAGACTTAAAGATTGTTGCTACTCCTCCTCCTCGCCAGAATTTCTGGATAGGTGGAAATTTAAATAACTATAGGGCGTTGCCTCATTTACCTCAGAGCAAATGCATTGTGCTTGTTGGCAATTGTTCACTATTTGATTAGGTGAAATTTGATTGATTTGAACGTTACCAAAGACCACTCTCAAACATCTGTCTGCTGACCTGATAGACATTCCCTCATACTCTTCGTCAACGACTCATTTGAACCCCCTTTATTTTTACTGACTCTTTCATGAATTCTGTGTTTATTCCAGTAGCTTGTGGTATTTGTATAGTTTATTAAACATAATAATACCACACTCTTAAGCCTCCCCGGCAAGGTCTATTCGGGGGTGCTGGAGAGGAGGGTCCGTCGGATAGTCGAACCTCGGATTCAGGAAGAGCAGTGTGGTTTCCGTCCTGGTCGTGGAACGCTGGACCAGCTCTACACCCTCAGCAGGGTCCTGGAGGGTGCATGGGAGTTCGCCCAACCAGTCTACATGTGCTTTGTGGACTTGGAGAAGGCGTTCGACCGTGTCCCTCGGGGGGCCCTGTGGGGGGTTCTCCAGGAGTACGGGGTGCCGGGCCCTTTGATACGGGCTGTCAGGTCCGGTGTCAGAGTCTGGTCCGCATTGCCAGCAGTAAGTCGGGCTCGTTTCCGGTGAGATTTGGACTCCGCCAGGGCTGCCCTTTGTCACCGATTCTGTTCATTACCTTCATGGACAGAATTTCTAGGCGCAGCCAAGGTGTTGAGGGGATCCGTTTTGGTGGCCTTAGGATTGCGTCTCTGCTTTTTGCAGATGATGTGGTCCTATTGGCTTCATCAGGTCGTGATCTGCAGCTCTCGCTGGATCGGTTCGCAGCCGAGTGTGAAGCGGCTGGGATGGGGATCAGTGCCTCCAAATCCAAGGCCATGGTCTTGAGCCGGAAAAGGGTAGAGTGCCTTCCCCGGGTCAGGGGGGGTGTCCTGCCCCAAGTGGAGGAGTTTAAGTATCTTGGGATCTTCACGAATGAGGGAAGAAGGGAGCGGGAGATCGACAGGCGGATTGGTGCAGCATCTGCCATGAAGCAGGCGCTGTACCGGTCCGTCGTGGTGAAGAGAGAGCTGAGTCAAAAAGCGAATCTCTCGATTTACCGGTCGATCTACGTTCCTACCCTCATCTATGGTCATGAACTTTGGGTCATGACCGAAAGAATGAGATCGCGGAGATACGAGTGGCCGAAATGGGTTTCCTCCGTAGGGTGGCGGGGCTCTCCCTTAGAGATAGGGTGAGAAGCTCGGTCATCCGGGAGGGACTCGGAGTAGAGCCGCTGCTCCTCCACGTCGAGAGGAGCCAGTTGAGGTGGCTCGGGCATCTGGTTAGGATGCCTCCTGGACGCCTCCGTGGTGAGGTGTTCCGGGCACGTCCCACCGGGGGGAGGCCCCAGGGATTGACCCAGGACACACTGGAGAGACTATGTTTCTCGGCTGGCCTGGGAACGCCTTGGGGTTCCTCCTGAGGGGCTAGAAGAAGTGGCTGGGGAGAGGGAAGTCTGGGCCTCCCTTCTTAGGCTGCTGCCCCCGCGACCCGACCCCGGATAAGCGGAGGAAGATGGATGGATGGAATACTGCGATAGGGATTATTAGGTTTAATATAGATTACTTTTAGTGAACAACTTGAATAGACAGAGACCCGTATTTCCCATGTGGTTAATGATTAAAAACTCTGCTTGAAATGTAAAAGCTATTTATAATATAGATTTTTAGGTTTTTGGTCTCGTTGTCGACAGCGTTTTTATTTGATCCTGTCTCGGTCTCTGTTTATTTTAACAGACCGCTTGAGACCATTGCTCCATATCTTACAAATAAAATTCAAAAAGGAAGTTTCTCAAAATAATAATAAATAAAAACTTAAAATCATTGGTAGTATAATGATCCCCCAGTTGCAGCTGCCATCTCCCTGAGTGTAGGGAAGTGTGAAAGGACAGGAGGAATGCAGCTTAATAATAGAATAAAAAAAATTGATAACAAAAAATATCTAACTGATATGTCAGCTTTTTCATGCAGTTCATTTAACAGTAGAAATCCAAAAGATACCAGGATTTACATCAAGCTGTGATCCGCTGACTAATTAATCTCTTTTTTCATGTAAAACCACGGACAATCCACCTTCAGAGATAAATCTAAGCTCAAGGCTCTCTGCTGATGACTGTGTTACCTGGGATCATTTAAAAAGTCATATGTGTAATTAAATATAGGGCTGAAACAAAATAATTGGATTGATCGTTAGTAACTGATTATTGAAATAATCTGGAACTAATTAAGTAGTCCGTTGATTGTTAAATGGAGTATAGAGAATGTACAATATTCTTTTAGCTGAAAGAGCAACCTACTTAGAGCAGTAATTATATCAAAATTGTCAAAAAAATATATGAACATTTTTGTTTAGATTAAAAAAAAAAGTTTTTTTGCCTGTCAATATGCTCTATCCAGAACTCCTCAAGTGGAAAAGTTTTAATTTCAGTTTAATTTAAAAAATAAAATCTTCTTTAAGGAACTTTTGGCAATCCGATTATTAATCGATTCATCGAAAAAATTATCGGTTACCAAAACAATTGTAGTTGCAGCCCTAATTCAATGTAACTACGTAATCAGAGTCGTCAAATCTGTTACTGGAATAATTTCAAACAGCCGTGTCGCAAACAGACTGATCAGCTGAAAACTGATCTGTAAGATAAATACCTT